TTGTGACTCACCCTTCTTGTTGTATGTTTATAGACTGTCTGTTGAACAGCTGTCCAATCAGGGTTAGGGTCTTAATATGGCCTGAACATAATATTGTTTAATTCCAAATAGTTCTATTATTGCACCTTTATAATAATATATTTGTATCTTGAAACATATCACTCTACTCATAATGAATAACTGAGTTACATAAGGGTTGATATACAGTGGAATCCTCTTATAGTGGTCACGAATATAGTAATCAACCACTTATAGTGTTCAAATTGGCTCTGTACCAACGTAAGCATTATAAGCGGATTCCACTGTATTTGTGATTCAAACAATAAGAAATTTTGTTTTTCTTGTATCTTTTTCTTATAAAACCTGAACAACGAAATGCAAAGCAAATATGAGTCGAATAATCTTAAAAAGCTCTACAAATAGAGTATGTAACCTAAAATCGTGACCCTTTTCAAAACACTTTTAATCGAGCTCCTAAATGTATTTTTTTTTTGTTTCTATTTTCTATTTTCTACTGACAGTGAGATTCAGTTCAGCCAAAAAAAATAGTGAGAAGTGAAACAGCCTTTTAGAAATGAGAAAAAAAAAATAGATGAAAAGTGCATCTCGTAGCTTTACACTGTAAAACACTTTTATTATTACTGTAAGTTCCGTTCTTTGCTCTTAGTAGAAATAAGTTTTTCAACACTAAAGTCCCACCCTTACTGTAAGAAAGAACTATAGAGTTTCTTCTGCTCTTGGCCCTTTTATGTGCACCGCACAGACTGATTGACGAGTCATTTAAAGGTGTAGAAGCTACAGCGCTTTCACTCTCAGTGGTTATAACCACCGCAGCACATTATCGGCACTGGGATACTATTTTCAGCTCCTCCACTCATTTTAACGAGCACGCGTTCTGATAGCGAGCTGGTTTGACTCAAATGGTCCACCTTTGATCTGGTTCCTGAGACGCTGACATGGAGGCCGTGAGATAGTTGCATTCGTTTGGGTACTAGATGGCCGCTTTAAAAAAGGGGCATTCCAAAAAAACTGCCCCATTACTGCTGCTAATTTCCCCCTTCAGGTTTCCCAACAGCAGTCATTGCTGCTGGTGACAACGATGGAGAAACGTGACTTACAGAAAACGATTTGATGTTTCCATAGCCATGAGATGCCTTTGATAAGCCGGCAAAAAAAAAAACCTCGCCCCTTGGGATTTCGGTTTTGATGTTGACAAGCAACTCATTATAGCAAATCTGGGTGATTTCGAAAAAGGATGCTAATTTCATCACCTCAATATCACTGAACAATAGCTTTCAGTCATCACCAATTTTATGGACAATTTCCATCTAGCCTGTTTTGTTTATCTGATCTGATTATGGAAAGATCATCAGCCTTTTACTCATTGTGTAAAACATTTTTAGCCAAGGGAAATTTTGGGATGTCTTGTTAATATTCTTCAAGTGACTGTTTTGGTTTCTATCATCATAATATTATCTGTTTTTGCATTAGTTTTCCTTAAATGTGTGAAGGTCCAGGGGTTCCTTAGACTCTACCAAAGGTTTTCCAGCTTGCTAATGTTCTGATTTCGCCCAATAATTTCTCACAGCTGATAGCTTGAGTAAAGATCACTGTTGTATTGTGACATTGGCAAATTAATTCAAAGCAAAAATATACTGAAAATGCGGCATTTATTTTATGAAAACAACAATTACTGTATTAATTGATATTTGGATTTTATAATAGACATATTCAAAAATATATAATTCGAATTAGTTCCAAAGTAGATATTTTAAACAATAGATTGATTCATAATTTTTTTATCAGTATAAAGTTGTGCAATGTTTTAGTTCTCAAAGAGTGAAGCGTTTAGTATGTTGGTATCTGGTCAAACTATAGATTTGAGGAACCATCGATGGAAATTCTGTGAAACATGACTATTTTTATCATTTTGGATAGACCTTCACTGCCCTTGATTCACCTACTTGATGTTTAATTTAGGATGCTTTATATTAATTTAAACTCTTTTAATCACAATATCATCTATCCTATCATTGACAAGTCTGATAAGCTTATTTTAGGTGGTTTGCCTGTCAAGCCGTCTGTTCTGCTAGAGCCTACAGTGAGCTGTTTAACAGACATGCTGCCTACTGCTTGCCAACTGTCATTATAAAACAAATTTACCAACAGTGAGTTACATGGTGCCACTTTAGTTTCTCAATTCTTGATTGTCCTGTTTTTTAGCACAATAAATCTATTAGTATATACTTAATTGTATGCCTCTTTCAGCCAGCTGACCTACAGTGTGCACTGAAACCCAATACAACTGGAGAAAACTTCACTAAAAGATTTCAAACTGTAGGAATTGTCAAAAAAAAAAAACATTTTAAAACCTGGAAACATGGTAAACAATTTAGTCCAAAGACTTTTACGTTTAGTAAAACCGTTTCTCCACAATTTTTAGATAAAAAAACATGTTCACTTTTGCTCCGTACAGAGATACATCATTTCTGTACATCCACGACAAATATGGGCTGTAGGTTACTGAGGGCTTGTAGTTGTCTTGTATAACACTGTAGTTCTTGTCTTGGTTGATGCAAAGCGATTCTAAATGATGAGGCACTTTGCAAAGAAACCATGTAATCAAAGAGTCCCTCCATTTCGCTCTTGTTGGTAGGTCTCTCTCTGGGTTTGCTGTTTTGCTGCACCATCATCAATCCTCACCCGTCTTCTTGTTTCCAATAAAGAGTATCCTCTGAATAAGAGATTTTTATGTTTATTATGTACATCCAATGTAGTTTGCTACAAAAAAACAATCTTATAATGAGTGACATATTAAGAGGTCTGCTTGAAAGTATTGAACCAATAGTAGACCAAATCTTCCATAAAACAAACATTTACCAATTTTACCTCAAATTTTTAGCTAGCAAAAAAATAAAACGTTTTGTGGTGTTAATCTACCAATAATTTTGTAAAATTATTTATTTAACTTGATTGCTTACCAACCTTGTTATATTTACTGGGATTTACATCACTAAACATCCTAAGGTTAAACCGGCTCCACATGTCATGCATAAAGACATGGTGGTGGCAATATCATGCTATGGGACTTTGTTCTCTGGTGTATTTTAAGATGGAGAAAAGAATACAGGTTTTTTGTATTTCCTTTTTTTTTTATATCTACATGTTTTTACAGATTAATATCTGATAAGTGTGTTGCACATTTGTGTTCAGTCCCTAAAAGTTAAACCTTAATCGAAACACAATTCACGAAAGATAACAGGTTGTGTGGGGTGCTTCTAACATCTATAGGTTGACAAAAAAGTTTGAGATCTTTTAGACCGGATTTAACAGCTGCTGCATGAATTCTCAGTTTGATTTAAGTCGAAACTTTAACTAGGCCATACTAATGCATGGATATTTTTTAATGAAAACATATTTTTTTAAATGAAAGAACAGCCTCTAATCAAAGGCATCTATAAACCCTGTCAACTGGCCAAACCAAAATCACAACATATCATTTTGAAATGCCTGAAAAAGCATAAATTAATTTAGCTGTTGTTCTTTAACCCCTAGAAAGGTCTATCCTGCCATATAAGATGTAATGATGGACAGTAGCCAAATTTGGAGGCTCGACATATGTCCCGCGTACGGAATAGGACAGTTAAGCGGTTTTAAGGAAAGACAACCTCTCACTACCATAGGATCGTGTGTCCAGGCTAATTTTGCATGACTGCAAACAGAGCATCTTCATTTACATGCCTTCCATTTTTGGCAGGTTCCAAATGTATGGTCTTGCATCTTTCTGCTTTTAACAGTGGCTCTCTTCTTGCCATCGCTCCTTACGTAATAACAGATGTTACCTAATAGTAGTTTTCTATGCTCTACTTAATTATTACTACATTTTGTTGATTTTTGAAATGTTTTATAGTCAAAATGTGATAAAAAAAAAGTTAGAAGTGGAGGAACCCTTATCTAATTGGCACGCCATGCTTGTTTTAACAGGTTTTTTAACACATACAACCCAGTTTTGGGTTTACCAGAGCTTTAAAAAGTGGGCAATTTCTCATGTCAAGACAACCCGAATTGGCAGAGCGATGCCTCTATAATAGATGCTGTTTCCTATATGTAGTGTTTGATATTACCAAGGTCAGGCAGAGCAAAGCTTAGGTTAATGTAAGGGGTAGATAATGAAGAAGATGAAAGAGGAACAAATGAGCTGAGGTCTGTAATGAAGGAGGAGAGGTCAAAGGTAAAAGAGGGGTGAGTCTGGATCCTGGAAGATTGGAAGGCCACGGCAAAAAAAAAACGAGGGAGCACAGGACGGGGAGTGGGGCTGGGTGTGTCAGGATGAATGGAGAGGAGGATGGATCGAAGCGGTGAGACAGGTCCACTGACTCAGTCACATTCCTGTCATCCAGATTTATAGCAGCTCGGGGTCCTGAGACAGGCCCGGAGCCGTGGCCAAATTACAGTCATCTACAGCATTCCTCTGCTGCAAACACAGGTTAGCAGCACAGCCGCGCTAAGTGCTAGGTGCTGCCTGTTGACAAATGACTTCCTTTGAAGGGCAAAAAGAAAGAAGGAGACGGTCGGAGAGAGGCAGGCTTTTTACTGAGCCAGGGCAGAGAGTCACACAGTCTGCGTTTTCTTTTGTTGGAGAGCAGCTCTGCCATAAGTAGAGATGAAGACTGAATGTTTGTATACATGTTTGGGTGTGTTTGTACAATGTGGGCACAGTCACCACAGGCCCGATTATGCAGTGGAGGGTCCCCTACATGCACAGGGACACACAGAGCGACGGATCAGCAGTGTGTGACCTTTGTTGGGGGACTCTTTAATGGCAGGTTCCCAGGCTGTTAGCGGTGCTGATAGCAGCTCAGACCTGAGGCCGGGTTCTGATCTGAACTGATAGGAACACTCAGAGATCCTTCACATCATTTACTGCCATTACACTGCATTATATCCCCCTAAATGGCTGTCTAATAGGTTGTTCTTTTTTTTTTATATATTTCCTCCAGGTGTTCACAGGCACCAGTCCCAGGACCTCTCAGGGTATTACTCCCTTCCTCCAGGTGGCGTTGGCCAAATCACTCCTTCCATGAGCTGGTGAGAAGCACACAATTTAAATTTAAAATGTCCCAAACTTTACTTTGGTTCTTTGGACGTAAATAATCTGTTTTTATCTGTTTTTTTTTATTTCCCGGGGTGTTTGTTAACTTAAACCTCTAAACTGCAGATCAGACAAAACAAAAAGAAAAAAACTATGGAAACTTCTAAATTAATGGTGATTTAGTTTTAAAGCTAATCCTGTTTGTTCCTTAAATGAGAAGAAAACCACTTTTATGTTTTTGTATTTCATACCCTCAAAAATTTTTAACTTAACAAAGAAAATAGAAAGTAGCCTTCTTAAGTAATAACTCAAACAGTGAAGAATTACATTTTCAGGACATTATTAAGAATTTCAAAAAGTATAGTTGCACCCTTAAAACCAGAATTGTTTCAGAGCTTTTGTCTTTTTTTCTGTAGTCTATTCATTTTATCAAGACATAATACACCATGATTTTTCCATCCCATAATTTTTTACAATTTTCTCTGGGAAAAAAAAATGTGTCATGATATTTTAGAATTGTCTTGGTATATTTATTCTTTCTGCATCTGTCTTTATTCCAACAAGACATAAAACTGACAAATCAGGCTAAAGTTAATCTTCAGTAGATGAAAGAAATCCGAAAGTCAGGAGGAGCTGAGAGATTCATTCTTTTTTTTTTTTTTTTTTTTTTTTTATATATAAAAATCGTTTTATTACAATAAAAACAAAATGAATAGTCTCTTTGAACGGCTGCTTTTTGAAATTTAGAAAAAGGAAATAACAGAAGGTTTTAATTTTTTTCTCAAAATACTTTTGATAAGAAAATAACTCGTAACTAGTTTCCTTAAAATTGCTCTTTCCTCAGCTCAGTCCATCTTTATATTAGATCAGTAAAACCGCTTTGCACATCATGATGCTGCCACCACCTAAAACACATCAAATAACAAATCTGAAGGATCTTTAAAAGCCTGAAGAAGTATTGATAAAGACCACTTCAAAAGACTAAGGAAGCCTGACTTCCTGTTAAGTGATGTTAGTAGAGGTCAACCAACACAGGTTCCTCCCAAACACTAATAGAAGATACAGAAAACCAGCCAGTGAAAACAGCCACGATTCAGACAAACCTTAAAATCTGTATTTTAGAGCAGAAATCAATCTGGTGTTCTTGTTTTTTTAAGTTGTTTAATTTCTTAAAGCTGATTTTTATTAAGTCATTAAAAAATCAACTTAACATGCAGCTTCGCTAGAAGCTAAAGGCGGCACTAATGCAACCTTTCAGTACTGATCATGTTTATTTCTGCTACAATAACCCACAGAAGTAACCGGCAAAAATATAATACATCAAATTATCTTTTTTTTTTTTTTAGGTAATTTTACCCAAAAGAAAATCTTTTAAAGCACATAAATTGACAGATGTGTAAACAAGTCATAGAACAGTTTTTTTTTTTCCGCTCCTTATATGTGCTTGTTACTTTCCATCCTTTTCTGGCCGTGGTAGATTTCCAACAACATGGAAACTTTAAACCAAAACTGCTTGTTTTTTTCTTTGTTTTTGTTGTTTTTTGGTTTTAGCTGAAACTTTACTGAAAAAGAATCCCCAAACAGAGGCATCTGTTCCATGTTTTCTCCTTTTTTTTAATATCATGCTGTGTGATTGTGAATCTGTAATGTCAGACTGCCTGTTATGGATCGACATAAATCCGTTTTGAGCGACCTCTGGAATCTGAGCCGCTCAGGGAAAAAAAAAATCCTCTCAAGAATATTTTAAATCTTGCATCAAATGTCATGAAGATTTAAGAAGAAAGCTTCTCTTTTAAATGTGCGATTACATGTGTGTTTACTGTATATGTCTACGGCAATATTGGTCCCCAGATATTCCTTAAGCCAGTGATATAGAAGCGTTTTTATCTTCTTCACAGAAAGAACTCTTCACTGTGGATTTTTCTAAGCGTTGTTAGCAAATAATCTGCTTTGCTTCAGATTATCTCCTTGTTTTAGGTTATTGGGGGACTTAAATGTCAAAGTGATGTTTTTTTTTTGTTGTATTGAATTTGAGCCTGGGACTTCTGTCCCTTCATAACCACATCCTGGTGTTTCCACTCGCCTGTTGGCTTATTGGATATTTTTATCTCACACCATCAGAAAATTACGATTTTTTGTTTTGTTTTTTTTCTTTTAAAGGATGCAGCTTTCTGTTTGAGCTCACAGTTGCAATAGAGTTAGTTGACATCTATTTGAAAGTTAAGTTTAAACTACCATCCTTGCAAATGAAAGAAAGAAAGGTAAACACCTAAAGAAAGAAATGTGAGGGTAGAAACTGGCTGGAGAAGCATTAGACAAAACATCAAATAGCTACAGAATCAAATCTGGACTTCATGCTGAATTCACATCCCTTTATTTTGATTTTAAATCAAAGCTGGTGGCTTATTGAAGTTGGATATTTAATTTCAGTATAAATTAGTCTGGTCTGCAAAGGCTTTTAAAGATTTCCGGGAACAGGCCTCGTTTTGGACCACCTGTCCCCGGAAATGTCCCTGATTTTACCGTTTTATGAATGAGGGGTGGAAATGTTGTTTGTAGACTGTTATTACGGTAGAAAGTGTGCATGCTGCGCACATAAACAGCTAATAGCTAGCTGGCTGGCAGCTATTAACGTATAGATGAGGAGCAGAGTGCAGAACTTTTAAAACAGACTGTTATCAGAACCGGTCTTAGCTGCCCTGTGTTATGGTGAGTGTGTTAATCGGTTTATTTGATTTTAATCGGGCTGATCTTTGTGTTAAATGTTTAGACCATTGGCTGCAGCTGGCATGAGTTAATAGACTCAGATAAAATTAAACAGAATTCTTGTAAGGAGCTCATCTGGTTCGGTGGTTCTCCAGGGATCAACAAGAGTTAATCTAAAGATGTTTTTAGAACTGATTGGTGACCTTTAGTTTATATCTTCAGATAGTTATTATGAGTAGAGTTATAGTTGTTTGGCTGTTTTATGGTTGTGATTTATGAGTATAGACTTCCAGGCTTAGGTCTAAATTTACTGGAAATGTCAGATTTCAGTCAATTTCAGGTTACCTTACTTTAGAGGTTTGTTAAAGAACAAACAACATCATGAAGATTAAAAAGTCAGGGGAAGTTGGAATAATTTTTGGAATATACAAAGCTAAAAACCCCTCAGTTAGCTCTGTTCAGTCAAGATATATCGGCAGAAGCTAAGTTAGGCAGCAATGGTTACTCTGGAGGAGCTGCAGAGATCTTTGAGGCTTAGCAATAACAAAGCCGTGCTGTTTGCCAAAATAGTGAGAGAGAAAAAAGTATGAAAACTATAATAAGAAACTACAACAATTACAAAACAGCCCTTTGTTTATAATGGTTTTGACAGGACAAAGGTGGATCTCTCGTTACCAAATGCCAACTAGATGTAAAGCTGCAGTTCCCAGCATACCTCAGCTCAGTCATGCCTTTCACATACCGTCACTGGGGTTTTTTTCTCTGGTGTCAGTCTGGAACTGCTGCTGAAAGAAAATAAGTTACCTTTTTAGGCTCCTGACGCTGCAAAATCCTGACTGCTTATTAGATTTTGGTTAGAAAGAAAAAGAAGAAAGTGGGCTTAAACACCTGACCTGTGCTACGGAGCAGATCGGGCTGAGGAGATGAAAAGTGGAAGAGTCTGATGATAGTAATGATTGTAAAGGAGGTTCAGATAATGGATGTGGATTCAAATGTGTGTTTGTGTCTGCGTAAATCCAGGGATAACTCAGCTGAGGGGGGGTTGTACTCAGGAGATTGCAGTTTTCTACATATCAAAGACTGTCTCTCACGTCACATCCCCAACCCTCGACCTCCCACGGTGTTCATGTGCCGCTGACACATAGCTGTCAGCGGCACGGATCCACACTCTGCTCTTTTCAGGAGTAATTGTGCATCACAACGTCAAGCTTTTATTCACCCATTTTAACCGATTCAAGACTTTTTTCATGCACAGAATAAAAACCATTAACTGTCCTGAATTAATTAAAATAGTTGGGGAACGTTAGCCTAGATGGGCTTTATAAAGATTTTAAAAAGCATTAAACTGCTCCCATCTCTCCCTCTGCTGTGCCACGGCAGGCAGAGCCAGCCCGTCTACCCTGCCTTGTCCCCTTGTGGATTCAGGCAGCCCTACTCCTCCGGTCTTCCCAGCGCATCCTCCTACTCCAGGTACTACATCCTGCCGGCTGGAGCAAACCAGGAGAAACAAGCCTAGAACGGAAAAGTTTTCAGAAAGCTGCGCTGCTCAACGGCAAGCTCCCGTTTACAGCACATCAGAAAAAAATAAATAAATAAATACCTTGAGCAGGACATTTCTATCTGTTCTTTCACAATCCTTTATAGAATCGGTGTGCTGTAAATGGGATCAGCTCAGCTTTTCGGCAAAGCTATCCAAGCCAAACTGAGCCGAGCTTCTCGCTGCTCAAACTTCATGAGAAGTATCATGACGAACACCTCTGCTGCTTCAAGCTCTGCGTTTATGTTTGTGTCTCTCATCTTTAGCCTCAAAGTTGCTACAACAGAACTCTATGTGTGCCCACTTTAAACACTTTATTGTTACCATTCACTCATTTAAAATTAATTTTGTTGGAGGTCTCTGCACCATATCAAGGGTTGCTTACAACACAGATACGCATAAAAAAACATGAAGATCCAGTTTTTAATAGGCATATAAATGCACCATAATTAAAATGTGTCATTTTATCATATCATTGTTTTCATCTAATATATATATTTATTTTAAAGAGGCCACTGTTTGTTCTCAACGGTCATAATCTGCTTGGAAAGTAGATTTTCTTTTTCATTTTTTATAATATTTCCAAGTAGAACCTGAAGTGAAGTGTCAGATTTTTTTCTCAGCAGAGCATCTAAACCAAGAACATGCTTATTGTTTTTTTATTATATTTCTTTTACTGAGATGCTTCTTAAGCTGCCAGCTCTTGACGCTTAACGCTGCAGATGTTGTTGCTCTGTGTCTTTCTTTATGTTATTTTAAGCATCTGCTGCTCTTTCACACAAGACTTTAAAAATAAATGTCATTATTTGTTCACTGTCTAGGTTGTAAAACAAGCTGTTTCTTTCATACTTCAGCTGCTTTCTTAAAAAGAAAATACTTTGGCGCCCTCGAGTGGTGACTAACGGTGAAGCCTCAGCTCCATTATCATTATCAGGATATATTGCATGTAAAAAAATGTTTTATTAATTGTTACATTACATTAAAATATTAATTGTTATATTATAATGATATATGAAGACATATATGATAACTTTTATATAAGTTTTCTTTGTCAGTCTACATTGGTAAATTCTTTTCTTCAGGTCAGCTGTTAGTTGCCTCCTAAATTTCAACAATTAGTCAGCAAATAACTTTTTAAAACTACACCTTTAACCAGTTAAGACTCAACAAATTTATATTTGCTCTTTTTTTATGATATTTAATTGAATTTGGATGTCAGAGGATACCTGTTTCTGCTTTCAGGCAAAATGCTTAGCCTCTCTTTTGACACTCGCTGTGCTTTCCAGCCGTCGGTCGATGCTTTTCCCCGAGCTCACCTGTTTGAGTGGCTCATCACACTTTCTTGTTGTCTCCCCCCCTGTTTTAACCCCCCCAGGTTCCCTCACTCTTTAATGCTCGGGCCATCAGGCGTGCATCCTACAGGGATCCCCCACCCAGCCATAGTACCCTCTTCAGGCAAACAGGAGCATGATCAGTACGACAGAGGCATGTACATGTAAGTTACCCCAACTCTAGCGCATGTTTCCTTCATCATAATCATGCCTTTTACTTTTCTGCTTAAAGGAGAATTCCGGTTTTTAACACTTTTAGCCCATTTTCTGTAGTGTCCAGGATGAAATCGAATGATCGACACCAAAATTTTGACAATTGGTCCTGTCTCTGCTTTTTGGCTCATGCAGAATCCCCCCCTGGCTGCTTCAGAATGGCTTCCATTGTGCATGTCCGATAATGTCCTTAAAACAACCTTAAACGTTCTTTTTTTAAAATATGCTACTCACCGGGTCGTCAGCGCTGTTCAATGACGTTCCAAAAAAAGTTTCGTAAAGAAAAAACGTTTAAAAGTGTTAAAAACCGGAATTCTCCTTTAAACCGTTGCTGACAGCATGGTTTGTATCAATGTTTTTTAGGAAACCACAAATGGAGGTCAAGCGAGAGAAGGAGCCCAAGAAACCGGTCATCAAGAAGCCTCTGAACGCCTTCATGCTGTACATGAAGGAAATGAGGGCAAAGGTTATCGCCGAGTGCACATTGAAGGAGAGCGCCGCTATCAATCAGATTCTGGGACGAAGGGTGAGGAAAACACATGACCGCAAACATGTTTTGTCATAATTTGTCCAAATCCGCAAGGCAGACACTTTACATGGTTTATGAACATCTATGCATTTCTTTTCTTTTTAACTCTAAGTTCCAAGAATCAATACAAAAATTTCTTGTTTCATTCTTCCAGCATTTTCAGCACCATGTATGTTGGAAGTCTTAAGAAATTCTTAGCTTGAAGTGCTGATAAGATTAGTCCTCAATTCATTCGGGAATTTTTTAATTTTTTTGTGTGTGTTTTCAGTGGCATGCTCTGACCCGGGAGGAGCAGGCCAAGTACTATGAGTTGGCCCGAAAAGAGAGACAGCTCCACATGCAGCTCTACCCGACCTGGTCTGCTAGGGACAACTATGTAAGCAAACCTTCTTTACTCCCCCTTACACACACCCCCTCCCCAAAAAGCTTTCAGTTGCACTAAATGAGTTTCCAAATAAGGATCTGTTAAGAAAAGAAGGGAGGACAAAAAAACAAACTCCTTTTTTTTGTTGCGGAGAACTATTAGCCAAAGTGCTGTGGTAACAGCAATGAAAAATTAGATACATAAATCATGGTTTATATTTCAGTTTACGTTTTATATATATATATATATATATATATATATATATATATATATATATATATATATATATATATATATATATATATATATATATATATATATATATATATATATATAATTTTGGAAAGCTTTGGCTAAATATGGTCAGAATGAACAAAACTATGGAAAAATGTTGGAGTTTCCAGACTTTTTATTCTTCAATTGAAATCCTAAAATTATACTTTTTTTCTAGAGAAATCATGCTTTTGCTTACATTTCCTTAATCAGAACTCGTCTGTTTTATTTTTCTGCTAATTGATTATTTTTTTAGTTGAGCTGATTAAACCTGCAGATAAATGCAGTGTTGTTCAAATGGGAGAAGGGGGGCATTTAGCTTTTTATGCTCTTTTAGAAATGGCTTCTTAAACTTGGGTTTGATTTAGGTTTCAAGCAAATCTTTGAACCTGCTATAGTTTTTTGTATTTTTGCAAAGAATATGTCAAAGATTATAAACTGAACTTTAAAACCTTGACACTTTGTCTCTTTTTTTTGTTGTTTATTTTTTCAAACAGGTCTTATTCGGTATGAAATTCTTTATTTAATCAACTTAGCACATTTATTTTTAAGCACATTTTATTTTGAAAGAAATCTCATTCAAACTTAAACTTAAAAAAGATACAGCCAGATATCCCAGTTTGTTCTCCACATTGTCTTTTTCAACTATAAGTTCATTTGTTTTTCTCTTCTTTTCCAGTTTTAAGTATAATTTGCTTAAGTCAAAAACAGAACAAATGTTTGAGCTCTTTGATGTTTTAAACTTTAAGAAGGAAAAAAGGTGTTTTAAAGATCAATAAAGTACATGTCTTTAAGTTTTAGTGATGAATTATAAAATCTGTGATAAACAGAGACCTGTTTGATTCTCTGAAAATAAAAACGGGAGCGAAAGCACACCAAGAACAGCTCAATATCTCTGAGTATTTGATTTGAAGAAACATCTTATTCGCTGAACTTTATTGATGCCTTTGCCTGCAAACCTAAATTGAAAAAAAGAAAAAAGTTACAAAGAAGGCTCCTGTGTGGTGCATGCATTTTTATTTATTTATTTAAAGTTTAATGTTTTGGGGGTTGTACTAAACCTGGGCTGCTGTGTGCCTCTGACCTCTCAGTTTGCTGTTGAACTCTTGCAGGAGGCGGGCCTTAGCGGGGTCGCAGGGGAAAAGAGTAAAGCTGATTGGGTAGGGACTCATCTAATGATGGATTTATACCTCTGTGGTGTGGGTTGAAAGAAAAAAAAAATATGTTTGAGAAGCTGCATGAGAGGGGAGGGGGTTGTGGGTATTTCTGTACGAAGTTTGCATGCACCTTCCAGAGAAATCTTTATTGACGCACCCACCCGAAGCATCACAAACAGCATGTGAAGAACACCAACAGGCCCATCTGATTGGTTGGCTGTGGATGCTCTTTATAAACTGCTATTTCTTATTTCTGTTCTACTAAAACTCTCCATTACACAGAGGTATAAATCAGCCCACTTTTTTTAACTAACAGAGAGCAGGCTGCATGGCTGGCCTCGCTGCATCAGTTTATTTATCCTCTTCAGTTTCATTTCACTAGAATCGCTTCATGTTTTTTAAAACAAAAAAAACAATGCTTTCTTTTTGTTTTGTTTTTTGAAATGTGAAAATACACATTTTGACTTATTTTTTTAGACTTTCTTTCAAAAGAGTCAGACTCTTTTGCCATGTTTTATTTTATTTTTTTTCTGGAATGCCTCCTGGCACATTATCTGTCATGCTGCAGGACCTGACTATTACAATGAAAACATGAGAAGGAAGTAGATTTAAGTCCACAACACAATGCATCATCCTTTGGTTGATGTCCTACTGTCCTAATGCACAGTTTTAGGCAAGTCGTCAACCTTTGCTAAATTTGCTTTTTATAAATCACCCTATAAAGATATCAGGAAATCTTTATCTTTTCTGCTGAATTCAGTTAAACTTTTCAGTTGGAAAATCTTTTCCTGACTTAAACTTAAATGAAAAGAAAACTGTAGCCTGGATTGAGTCCCGTAACTTACATTAGGTGACCTTCTGTTCCACAAAAATACCAAAAACAAAAAAAAAAACAATCAGCTACTGACCGAGGAAATATGCTAACTATAACAGGCTTAAATTGAAGGCAAATTAACCTTTTCTCTATGTTTCGACATTTATCGCAGAGTCTTTATCTTTTCTAAAGGCTCTAAAAATAGCAAAAAGTTACAAACAAACGGCCCGCCTGTCCCTCCACTGGTACTTTATAGTCTGTTTTCGGGTATGAGCTGTTTAACCGGTCGCCTGAATCCGTGATAAAACTGCGCTGACCCACATGACCAAGAATCTGCACAGGCATTGCAAGGGTTGCCTAAAATTCAAACAATGCCTCTTAGAGCCTATTGTTGTTCAAAGCCAATGAAAGCTGTCTTAAAATAATCTGTTTTCTTGTCTTCAAAGTTTTCCACTGCTCTGCAGTTTTTAAATGCTTTAAACATTTATACCTTGTTCTTAGCTCCCCCTAGTGCTAAGTGTGAACAGATCTTATAAGTCAATAGCTCAAAGTTGTTTTATGTACTCGACTTGCTATTTATTGTAAAGAAATTTTTTGTTTTTTTTACTCTTATGATAAATATCCAGGCGTCACAGAGATCTTTTAGTTTATCTTTCTGTCTTTTAGCACCGTTGGGTCTTATCTTATTTTTGTGCGCTTCATATATCATTAACTCCTTTAGTATTGAAGCACAAAACACAGAAAATGGAGTAAAAAGGTTTTTATTATTGTTCCCGCTAAGAGTTTTACAAGCTGAAGACAATCAGATATGTGTTCAGAGGTGCAGAAATATTAATAGCTCATTTCTTATTATGTAGTCAGTTGAGAAGTTTTAGGCTATTGTTAAATGTTTGCCTGTTTAACACACAGTAACATTTAAATTCCCCCTAAAGGCTCCAGCAGGGGACAGAAAAATAACCGTAAAGGGCCACATTTACAGATGACATAAAAGTCTGTCGACCTACAAAAAAAGATTTAATACATTAAGGGGCTGACTTAAAAAAAAAAAAAAATATATATATATATATATATATATATATATATATATATATATATATATATATATATTTAAACACTTAGAGTCAAAAATCCTCTCAGCAGAACCTAAAAAAATGTGCTGCTGGTAGACTACATGTGTTGGATTATTACCAGACTTTAGCTCAGATATATAATGTCTGGGACTGAAGTATATTTTGATGTATGTGGAGAACCCCCCCCCCACCTCTCATGTCACACCTCCTTTGGTCACTGGCCCTGCAAGCAGAACAGGAAGAGAAGCTCCACATCTCACCCCACACGTGTAGAGGGTTTCTCCTGCAAAAAAAAAAACCTCCATACACGCTGCTGAATGCACACACGCCCACAGACAAGAGGAGCTTTATTTGCAAGATGAACTGTTGTAAACCACACAGACGATGCTAAGAGCGAGGCGTGGAGGGCAGACGTCGGAGTGTAGGCGGTAGATTCCTTTACCCACATCCTTCATCTCACTCAAATACGAGGCCTCGATTCATCATCTGCAGATCTGTGTGAAGAGCTCTGATGTTTACCTCAGCAGTTATTAATACACACTAGCTAGGCTGGGCCTGTAGACACAGAGACATGGACAGAAATATCAAGTTTTTTCTTTTTTCTTTGTTTGTTTCTAAGTGATCTGAAATGAAAAAAAATAAATAAGTAGCTTTGAAGCTGATTTTAGAAGATCTCTGCTTTTTTAACACCTGCAGAAATGCAAGGTTTTGCATGAATCTTAGAGTTTCTGAAGCGGTGCAGTAGAATCTCTTCTCTTTCTTGCTTTAGTTTTGCTTCTTCAGAGCACAGACTGATCTGGTTGCAGGTTGGACTTTTTTTCATTTAAATGTTTTGTGTTTGAATATTTTATTTGTGCTTGAAAAAAAATTGAGCGACATCTCAGATAGTTTAGCTTTTCATCCTCTGCCTTGCAAACGCACTATTGCTCCTCAGAATTTGTCTCGTTCAGGTGACAGACCGACACAAAGTGGTGTAAAATTGTGAAAATATTATGTCTTTTTTATTATTTTATTAAAAGCACATCCAAGAAAGTGCAGAATTTTAATTTCAACTTCGCTCCCATCTTCAGATTACACCCTAATAGAAAACAAAGAGAGTCCATCTGTTCATGGAGGAGAAACAGCAGACGTAGTGAAGGAGATTATTTGGGCAGATGAGAGTAACATGTTTTATTGTCACCTGCATATTAATGCATGAAATCAAGGAATCTGTGATCATGCTTATGAAACAGTTTTTCATGGAAACTCTCCATCCAACCTAACTGAGCTTGAGTTATTTTGCAAAGGGGAAAGGAGGGAATTTTCAGTGTCTAATAGAAACGTTTTTCAAAGAGAAAAAGGTTGAATAAAGCTGATAAATCAGGCTGGGCTGAACATTTATTCAGCCCGTATGGCTGAATAATATTGTTCAGAGTTGCTAATAGGCTATAAATATCTCCAATTTCAGTGCAATTATGGTCTGCAGGCTAGTAACGTGTTTTAATGCTTGTTGTTAAAAGCAGCCTTCCACCTAAAGTATTTATTTTAATCATAGGGCAATGTTTTTTTTAAGAAATCTATGTTATTTATTTATTAATTTTTTTTTACCTATTTAGTGTTTAGGTTTTTTGTTTGCAAAGGAAAAAGAAAGGAACCACGCATTAGATTGTCAAATTGCCATAATCATGATGTTCAGTTTTCCTTCTATCGGGCAGCTCTCAACCACTGATATTTTTGGGGGGATTTTTTTTTTTTTTTTTGTCAATAAATTGGGGAATTTTATTTACCACTTTTCTTCTACATTGTGTTGGTCTTTCACAGGAAACCCCACTAAAAACGTTGACGTTTTGGACAAAGTAAAAATAATATCCAATTGTTTGTAGTTTAAATTATCTGCACCATTTAATGGGTTTTTGGTCACTTTAGTCATGTTTGAACTTAAACCTGTTTTCATTTTAATGCCTTGTTTTTTTCTTTAATTTTTATATTGATCTGTGTCAGGTACCTGGGTGAAGTTGCCCACTCAAAGTATTCAAGATGGACAAAAATAAAAAAATCTGGTCATGTTTTCTTATATCACCGATATTTAAAGGCTGTAAACTCTCTGTGCTCTTATATATTCAATATGACAGTCGCACAAGTAAATGAAACCATTTTTGGTTGGAGGTGGGGGATGTTTATGACTTTTGGAGAACATGACGGTGGGCAACTTCACTCAAATATAAAACCTGAAAAACAATTTATTAATACTTCATACTTTAGCATTAGTTTACTTTTATATTCAGGGAGAATTACATTCCACTGTAGCTTGTATTAATAAATAAGGTGATAAATAAACAAAATTAACTTGATATATTTGGGGCATTTTTTTGTGTTTCTCCCACAGGGCAAGAAGAAAAGGAGAAAAAGGGAGAAGCAGCAGGACTCCAATACAGGTAAGCATTTTCATATACACTCTGCAGACAAATGACCAGGGTAACAAGTCCCAGCTGTCAGAGGATGGGGAGAAACTTAAACATGCGTTGGCGCTCTGAGCTGCTGCTCTGCAGCAGGATGTGTGTCTAACGTCAAACCACTCACCCACTCTGCTTTCCATACAACCTGAATTAGAGAGCTTTTAATCCCAGAGTGCGGATGTTAAGTCCTTACTGTTCTGCATTAGTTTTATTCTTGTCCATATAAATAACGTGACTAAAATTATTTAATGAGAGAACGTTCGTTGCAACATGTCTGCTCAGGCTGGTTTGTTTCTTTGCATTTTGCTCTAACAGCTTCAGCACAGCTGCCTTTCTCACAGTGTTTGCTCGGAGTGTTTTCTCTGAGTGACATTAACAGAGCTGCATCTGTGTCTCTTGGTGACTTTGCTGTTTGTCAGTCACATTGTGCTACTAACAGTTTTGGCTTTTTTTTTTCCAAGGTGCTTTTTTTCCTGTCATGAAAAACTTATTTACCTCTTCCTTCTTTTTTTCCCCTGTCAATCTCTAATTTTCCCCCACTTTGTTTTTGCTTCATCCGTTTTTTTTATATGTGTTTTTTTTTTCTTTTTGCTTCCCTCCTCTTTTTATTTTTTTGTGCATGTTTTGCATTGTGCGCTCAGACCCGGGCTCTCCTAAGAAATGCCGAGCTCGCTTCGGCCTCAACCAACAAACGGACTGGTGTGGTCCTTGCAGGTGTGTACCCGACATTCATCCACTTCCATCCAGCCGGGATGCTGCTCCCCCATAGAACGTCCCAGATTCATCTCCCATTTAATCATCTTCTAATGTGCATCACAGTAGTCTGATTGTCTAAGAGGACAGAGCTGTCCTGGAGGTGGTTATCTTCTGTCTCTGATTAGCTGTTCTAATTTGAACTTATGAATAATATTAGGATTTGACATGATTCCCACCTTTGTCCTTAAATGGAAGGAGTTTTTTTGTTTTTATACAGTTTTTAATTGAATTGAAAAGAAAAACCTTGATGCCCTTTTGCAGCAAGACAAAACATGCTGATGACACACATAGATGACACAAAACCTCCTTTAAAGGCAGCTCTGTCTCTGCATGTTGTCTGTCACTAACCTGCTGTTCACAACAAAAAGGCATAACCAAATAATCTTTAACATTGAGAATAAATATTATTACAGCTGATATAGGTTCAGATTAGTATTTACCTTTTTTTTTCTTTTACAAAAATTGTATAATCAGACACGTTTTCTATAAAAGGGTCCTTAATGTGGTTTAGGAGTCCATTGTGAGAGCTGTCAGAGATTGCTGCCCAAATACGGTTTTAATACGGTTTAATACGGTAAACTTCAAAACAGCTCACAGGACAAAGGGATCTACGTTTTTAAAAGCAAAAAAATTAATGAAAATAAGAAACCTAAATCAGGGGGGAGAGAAATCATACAATTCACACAAAACGGGTCAAATGAGAGTAAAATTTGCATTTTAAGAGTTGAGTTTGAAGAAGTGATGTTAAAACATTACAGTTATATTAGAAACAAATGAATTCCTGTTAGAAATGTCCCATTTTAATGTCCCATATCTGCTGTGTTTATAAGATGAAGTCAGGATTGTTATTGGATTGTTTGACGGATCGGATGTTGGAGTTTCATCTTTTAGGATGAAAAAATGCAGCTCTCATGTAACGGCTGAGAAACCATGTGCTGCAGGTTGCTAAACTAAACAAGATGCTTTAATTTGCTCTTCTGTCTATCAGATTATTAGTTAGAAAGAATAGATTGTTGAGGGTCAGAAACCTGGGATGCTAAACAATGTAGGTGCTTAGAATTAGATCTGTAACTGATTTATGTTCATAGTTTCCCATCTTAAATTCCATAAATTGTTTTCCTTTTGTATTTTATTTGGACATTACTTTATTACTCTATATAGTTTGGTATTAGATTGCAGTGAAGGTTGTTGGATTAGAGTCGTGTACATTTCTAGTGCAGCAGCTCCTGTATGTCACATGAAGAGCCGCCTCCTCCTCTGGACGTTTCGCCACAAGTGGGCAACAGGCAAACGTCCCACTTTGTCGCTCTGATGCAAACAGAAGCATCTGCAACAACCTGACACGCAGGAGGTTTGTCAGCTTAGCTTCGTTTTAGTCGCATCGGGCCGTAGAGTATTCCACCGCGGTCCACGGATTGGATGCAGGATTCGGGGAGTCTTGTGCGGTTCTGACATGAAAAGCTTGCCTCCACCACTACTGCACTGTAGCAGCCCCGCCGTCTTCCCCGCTATCACGTCATGGAAATCTGAGTGTGTGTTTCGGTTTGAGAGAACAAAGGGGGCTGAATGTGGTTTTGAGCAAATCCTTATCACCACAGCTTCACACTCTCCCTGCAGCGTTGCATCTCGACAGCTTTCTCATGCCCATCTGCTTTCAACTTTATCCACTCCTGCGATGTGGTGACAAGCAGCTTTTGATGGTGAACTCTGACATTTAGAAATCACTTTCTATTGCAGAGTTCCTCTCTTTCTCTCCCTCTGTCTGTCTAAATTTGGCCCAGCACCTCTCCTTGCGGTCAGGCCTGGTGACTCATATCATATTCTGGTAATGATCATGGGATCCTGTTAGCAGCTTTGATGCTGCACGCCGTGGTATGCAGCTCTCCTTTAAAGTAAAGCATCTCAGAGAGCACGGCAGGTCTCTGTTAGTTCATACATGTTTAGCTGATGGCAGGAAAACACTATCTGTATTACACTAATCAGTGATAACTAAAGTAGTGCCGCTTTTTAGATACTGCTCATAGTTCACCACCTAGACTTTCTGAACTAAATCCATCCTTATTGTGTTTCTAAGATACAATAAAAAAAACTATTAAATGTAATAATTATTGATCATCATGAAGTTGGAAGCATTCTATGACGTAGTATCGGGGCCACAGTGAGGAAAAATAAAATGGGGGAAGACTTTTTTCTCCTTCTACAGTAGTAGCCATTCAAAATTCCCCACTTTCCTTGATGGGCCCTTGGCTGGTCCCCTACAATTCCTTTTTAAACTTCAATCTTTGTACGAAAATATTCTTTCTGTCATGATTTGTGGACATTAAGATCTAAAGAGAAGCGTTATCACTTGTTCAGACCTTATAATTCACTGAAAGGGTGGAGTCAGAGTAAAAAAAATATGCACACCAAGGAGAAGGTCAGTGGCTGGAATTTGGAGGGGATTTTGCTTGGAGCTGCATGCAAGTGGGCTGCCATTTGGCTGGGGTTTGACTGATAAGGCCCATTATGAATGGCTGCTAAGGTACCAAGTCGATGCAACTGGAAGGTGGAGAATAAAGTGGAACTGCTAAAAAAAAAGGCTCCCTTTCAGAGGCTTATTAACATCGCCAAAAGATCAAGCTAATATATGCCATCATTCATGTCCATCTATGTTATTGTCAACTTTATTCGTAAAATTGTTTTCAGCTTCTTTTTTTATTGACAGTCCAACTTTATTCTCAACCCTGGTTTTTCCCTTAGAGCAGGCATCCCCAAAGTCGGTCCTCGAGGGCCAATGTCCTGCAGGTTTTAGAGGTTTCCCTGCTCCAACACAGCTGATTTTAATTGAAAGCTGATTGACAGGCTGTTGCTCAACTTCAGTCGTCATAATCAGCTGTGCTAAAGCAGAGAAACCTCCAAAACCTGCAGGACAGCGGCCCTCGAGGACCGACTTTGAGGATGCCTGCCTTAGAGTGTTTTTTGGGAGCAGCGATGGTTATAAAAGCTGTCAGCTGCTGGGAGGAAGGATCTGTGATAATGCTCCTTTGTGCGTTTTAGACGCACACTACAAAAATGATCTAGAATTTCTTGAATTAAGTGTATTTACTTGAATCTGAGAAGGTAAATGAGATGATTTGCCAATGGAAACAGTATGTTTAATCTTAAATATAATATATAATCAGATAATATACACTTGAAATATGACAATGCAATTGTTTTTTCAAGTTTTAAATGTAAATTGCCTTTTTCCTTTGGCAAAGGATCTCACCTACTCCCTTAATTTATGACAAAATCTTAAGAATCTTACGAACAAAAGACTATTAAGATTTTAATTTTTTATGCACAGAAACTAAGATAGTGGAAGAAAAGTCTTTATATCAAAAATATGTATTTATAATGTGCCTTTGTTCTTTTGGCCTTATTTTGGTGTATCACATAAAGTCCCCATTAGATTCAAACAATCTGCTGAAGGACGTATTTTAAGTGTCTGTGTAATTAAAACATTTTTTCTATATTTTTCTATACTCTACTTTTGTAAAGCTGGACTTCTACCAAAATGTTAACTCAAACAAACCTTCAAGCAGAAATATTGCTGTCAAATCATCATGTTTTGTTCATGAATGCTTGTTTCCATGTTCATTGACCTCATTGTGAATGCTGCACCTTCACTGAAGCCCGCTGACGTCTCCCATCCACACTTTATTCACAGATAACTCTCTCTGACTGTTCCTAGGAGGAAAAAGAAGTGCATTCGCTACCTTCAAGGAGGAGGCTGCCCCAGCCCATCTTCTTCAGATCTAAGTGCTATAGACTCTCCCCCCTCCCCTTCTCCCTCACGCCTCCGCCTCTACCATCAGCAGCCTGCTCCCTCCCCAGGCTGCTCCCCGCCGCCTGTCTCGCCGTCTACTCGCCTCCCCTCACACACGCGCTTGCACACTCGCTTCCCATCAGAGCAGTCTGCCGGTAAGCAGACGGACTTCCGGCAGCCCCCGCTGGACAAACACCTCCCGAACACGCACCTGGAACTGTCCGGCAGGCAGACGCACTGCTCTACGGCGCTGTCTGCTGCCAAAGTGGCAGGACTTTCCCTTAAAGTGCTAACAGAGACTCACTGACCACGAGGATCCGCTGACTTCACCGTCACTGTTCCCCTTTCCTCGGCTTCCTCTAAAGGCATGAAGCTTATTCTGGTCACCTGCCTTCATCTAACAGTTAACAGTCTGGTCAGGTTACTGTAAAAGTCCTCATTCCTATTTTATATCACAGATAAGGCAAAACAGACGGGTCAAATAATAAGATTGATTGGTGAAAATGATGCATTTGACGCATTTCTGATTTAAATCAAGGTTTAAAGGTGGATCAATCAGAGGTACAATACACTCAGCTGTACAAGAACATTCAAATCTGTTGAGCTTTTATTCATGTTTGAACCCTCAGTGATCTTTATTAGTGTTTTATTAAATAACACAACATACGACAGGATGAGGAAATGGAAGAAAAGATGCATGTTTTCCTAGATTTATCTTGTAGAACTCCGTTCTGCTGCCATTACGGTTCTTTAGGATGGGTCTCTAACCTCTGTAGCCATCTAAAAGCTGATAATTCATCCATTTCTTCTTAGACCGCTCCATCAGATCGTATGGAGAGCATCTGTGAAAATCCATTAAGTCTTGCTGGTGACCATCAAATGGCATGAATCTAGACTTTGACTAGGCCATTCTAACACATGAAAATGCTTTGATTTGAACCACCGGGGCGAAGCTCTGAATATGTTTACGTGTGTTTTCACTCCTTTCACATATTTCTGCAAACATTCCTGGTAGTTTTAGGGTGATCTGCAGCGTTTGCTTTCTGCTGCACATAAATGCTCAGGATGTAGACTAGAAGGTAACATGTTGGTCTCATCTGAACACGTCCTTCTGGCTCCACAACTTAAATTGAAGCACATTTTTAATGGGACTTTATAAAGCATTTCTTTAACAAGGGCATTATCCTTATCACTTTTTGATAAGAGGCACGATTGCCCTGTCATCACATCCTCTCACCTACAATGAAGCTCTGCAGCTCCTCCAGAGCCACCATGGTCTCTGATCTGTTTAGGCTGTTTGCCATAACTGGGCAGGTTTACAGTTGTTCCATACTCTTCCATCATCAATGAATTATACCTCAACTGTCAACCAGAAGTGATCCACTGGGTTGTTGAGGATGGTGAGCAAACATATAGTTTCTCTTGTCTTTTGTACTGTCATGAACACTCCTAATAAAGTACTATAAAATATGTAATGTGCCAAAAGGTGTAAAAAGTTTAAGTATGAAGACATCCTCAGGCCCCTGTAATCTTGACTTGCCTCGAAAATCTAGAGATTCAGAGTGGTTTTAACTTTCAGGATAGTTCCCCTTTAGAGTAAATTCACATCAGTTTGTTCATTACTCAAAAAGATCAACTGATAAACTAACAAATGAGATCTTAAAGAACCACCACCTAGTCAAACAGTTAGGGGACAACATGTATGAAGGTAGCCGATTTGTTTTCAGGTAAATTATTTCCCATTTTTATGTCTCATAGCTGTACCTGATCTGTAAACGTGAGAAGAGCTGTAGGCAGTCCAGCTCGATCTCCTGGGAAAACCATGTTTTTAAGCTGCAACTTCGCCATGTGTTGCTGTTTTCAGAGCGGTGAAGCAGACCCCCATTTCACTTCTTTTAGCACTTTTAGGCTTCCAATCTCTGGCTTAAAAAAATTTTTTTTTTTACTTCTTTTTTTTTGGTCTAAGAATCTCAAGTCATTTTATAGGTCATGTTTTTTTGTTAAGATTTGTTTTCTCTTACCTGCAGCTCCATAACTAATCTGTGACCAATGGGTACTATTATATTGCATTGTCTTGTAAAGTTTTATATTATTAAAAAAAAATAACTTTTGTATGTTTTTATGGAATAAAAAGGTAAATTGCTTTAAAAAAATATAGTTTCCAATTTTTTCTAAAAATTAATGTTTTGTCCCTTTTTGTGTACATTTTTTTTGCAGTCCAGTATTTACTGCAGAAGCCTTCAAACTATATTTTGTGTTCTCGTTCTGTGCATGTTTCACATGTAATGTTACATTTCAAGCAAAAGGGGGGATTTTGTATTTTTTATTTTAATGCTTTCTTGCAGCTTCAAACTCAGCTTTTAAACGATGGAATAAATATAGGCTGAGCCTTTGTACTATTCTTCTCCAGCAGATGGAGCCATAGGCATAAAAAAACTGGAAAAAGTCTTTGTACCTTCATGCTTTGAACCCTCTGATGTATTGTTTTTGTTTGATGTTATTAAAAGTGTTTTAAATATCTTGTTTGTGGCTCCTAATTTATGTAATAGAATAGAGAGAAAAATTCAAGAGTTATTTAGACAGAATTCAATATTATCACCTATATACACTACATAACTGGTGACAGGCCAACAGAAAGACCACAGCACATCCATTTGAAAGGCTTTATTATCTCCTTCAGTGTGTTTATCCAGCTTTAAAAAAAACCCAGCATCACAGCTAAGCTAGGAGAGTCAAATTAAATACACAAATGCCTTATGGATTAAAGCTGTGATGGTGTTGACTTCATTTTCCCCAATTAACAAGCTAACAATGCATTTGTACAGGCAAAATAACATTCACCCTTGTTTTTCCGTCGTCAAAATTTTTTTTTACTTTATTTGAATCAAGGAACCTCAAAGTAAATTCTCCAGTAAAAAACAAAAAGCAAACAAAAAAAACAAAAACATCTAGAGCAACTAAAGACAATCTGATAGGAAGGGATTTATTTTTATCCCTTTAAGGGCAAAAACCAACGAAAAACAGGACTGGGTTTTATGCAGATGGACAATAGGAGTGAGTGAAAACAATACTAGGTGTTTTAGCTTTGATTTATTGACACCACACAGGCGATTTAAAAATGGTCATGCTATTAATGGGATACAGAAATGAAGGGAACAAGAGAGCAAGGTGGAATCTGATATCCTTTCAGAGAATATTAACAAGTATGAACAACGCCAGTGCAACCAGTAAGCAGGGACAATCCTTGTCAGTGTGGTAGTGTTGGCAGGATCAGCCGCTTTATTTTTCTTCACACCACTGGTTCTCTTTGCGTACCTGTAGAGAAAAAAAAAAAGTGGTTGAGCTTTTTAAGGCCAATTTATGCTTCTGACGCATAGCCTCTGCAACCGTCAAATCTGTCTTAAAAAAATCCAGACTACACATCGGACGGTCGCAAAACCGCGCAGACCTCAAGCGGAAGTGTGCAGACAAAAAGCAGCTGTGATTGGTCCTTTCCGGCTATCTGTGTGGTCGTCCTTCTCGAATATGTGGTGGGGCACGCCATTTTTAAAAATCCAGCAATAACAACAATGGATACTCTAGATCCATATCTGTGACATCTTCCAGACGCGTCATTGTTGTTTTGGAAAATAAACACTCCCGCCAGCGCAGCCGAAGAAGTTCTTGCGATTTCTCGAATAGAGTTCCTACAGCTTAAGGAAAGTTAAATTTAAGACTTTTTAATGCCACTTGAAATAAAAATTTAAGACCAAATTCAAAAGAAAAACCTGCTTGCGACAACTTAACCCAAAGGTTTCTTTTAACATAAACCACTGCACTGTTTCAAATTTTGAAAAGCTTCCCATACAGGAAGAAAGCTAAAAACACACAAATGACAGATATATTTTGACAATTATTTAAGTGAATTCACAAACTTTGTTTTAGCAGGGAACAAAACAAATCAGTTCTAAAGCCACAACATAACCAGTGCTAAGTCTTTTTTGCAGCTATTTTTCTTTGTATCGTTTTCTTAGTATGTTTGATTTGGTGCTAAGTGGAGGCGTTGCAGAGACAAGGGTGGAACAAAACGGAGAAATACCGCCTGTTTTTCTGTAACTCGATTTTGACGCTTTGTGTTTCGTGCTTCGCATGTGCGACTCCACGGCCTTAATTCCAATCGTTCCGAGCTTGAATCGCTTCTTGCACAAAACACACTGTGCCTCATGTATGTTCCCTGGTTTTAGCCATGGAGAAAACTCTTGGCTGGAGCCAATTTTGGTTTCATATACACTTGCTCATATTTTCCAGACAAAAGGTTAATGGCAAATCTCCCTAATGTCCCGGCCGCAACAACGCTTTTATTGGTTTCTCTATCGGGACGGAACCAATAATGGCGAGCTGTTTTTTTTGTTGTTTTTTTATAAACATTTTTTTTTTCAATTTTAATGTTTTATTTAGATTACAAACATAAATTGTAATAAAAATAATCCTATTTATGAGGTTTTCAAAATTAAGACCTACGAAAGACTAATTTAAGACATTTTAATACTAATTAAGGCCTTAGTTTTATTTTGAAGAATTCAATGCCATTTAAGACTTTTTAAGCACCCGCGGGAACCCTGGCTTTGGCGGGGAACTGCTGTGCGTCCCAAGAAATTCCAGACCGACGGTGCAGAAACATACCAGCAAAACTGGTTCGCAACCAGACCCAGGCGAGATTTGATGTGTGCTCTTGCAGAAGTATAATCCGCCCTTTAGGCACCTCCACTGAACAAAATGATCCATTAAAACAAAAAAGCAAAAAGAAGGATGCAAATAAGTACCTGGGCCTCCTCCTCCTCTGTGAAATCATTTTTGATGTTGAAAGTTTTCCTGATCTCTTCTGGGGTTTTGCCTTTAATCATGTTGGCCACTGTCTTGCAGGTGACATCTAAGAGACCTTTGATGTCCAAGTAGTTGGCGGCCTTTAAAAAAAAAAAAAAAAAAAGGGGAGAAAAAGAGAGGATTAATTAACAAGGGATAGCTCATCAGCAATGGAAATAAGAATGAAAATGAATATCATTTTGAAAAAGTCCAAAGTGGGCAGAGTCTTAAACAGAGTAGCCACCCCCCTTTCCACATTCAAGGTACCACCACACAGGTCTGAGGTCTGATTTAAGCAGTGTTGTAGGATCTGTATTAAACTATTGCATATAACAAAAAATGGCAACAAATCTGATGTTTGAACTGATCCTATTAGCAAATGCCCTCCAGGCAGGATATAACTCAACTCTACAGTAGCCTGAAACGTATTAGCCGGTAAAAACTGAGGGGTGGGGGTCATCACCTTTAGGCAGCGTCAAACATTTGTTGAAAAAGAGCAAACTGGACAAGCAACTGCAGAAGAACTACATCATCTCAATCCTTCCCTTTATCAGTACGATTATTAGAAAAAGCTGAATTTCAGATTTAAACACCTCCCTAAAAATGTGTAGCTGCTTCCAGTCAGGCTACCCTGCTCACCACAATACAGAGACTGCCCTGATGGAGGTGTTCAATGACATCCGTATAAATTCTGAAAG